CAGAGGGAGAGGGAGAGAGGGAGAGAGAGAGAGAGAGAGAGAGAGAGAGAGAGAGAGAGAGAGAGAGAAAGAGACTAACAGCTGGGGTAGATCAAGGAAGGTCTTATGTAGGTGGTAATATCTGAGCAATACAAACATTTATTGAGCACCTACTAAGTAGATGGTACTAAACTAGTAATGGGTACTTGATTTTCTCTTTATTTTGAGATGCCAGGATTCCATTCATATGGTCACTCTTCTGACCTATTCACATTTTAATCCCTTCATGCCTTAGTAGAGAGCTTAATAAGCTGCTGTACCCTCCCCCCCACTTCCAATCATCACTGGTAATCCATCTCCAAGACACTTGGTGGGGCCCATATTTAAAAACTTAACAGCTTGCGTTCCATGGGCAGGGTCTTTGAGAACCAAGATATACCCAGAAAAAGCATCGGCATAGGACTTTACCTATAGTAAGACTGCAGATCCAAAGATGGGGGAGTGAGTGCTACAACAGATTGAGAATTAAGTTCCAAATGGAGAAGATGGTGTAGACAGTCATCATCATCATCATCATCATCATCATCATCATCATCATCAGTCATCAGGAAGACTGGTTCAAGTCCTAACTCTGACACATACTGTCTATGTGACCCTGGGAAAGTGACTTAACTCTCAATGTCCCAGGTCACTCATAAAGTTATCAGTTACTGAGAAGGTGACAATTTTCATTGATGGGGGGAGTTTCCTTCTCTGGAAATTGCTTTTGTCAATGAAATCACAGGTCTTGTTGGTACCCCTATCTCCATCTTATCCATGTAGATATGGTATCCTCCTGTCCCCATCCCAACCCCAGTAGAATAGAAGCACCTTGAGGGCCATAACTATTTTGTTTTTATCCTTGTGTCCATAGCAATAAGCACAGTACCTTGCCCATAGTAGCAACAATAAATGTTTGCTGAATTAAGTTGAATTACTTCCAAATTCCTGATGCTGTTTATGCAGTTCTGGGATTCTTTTAGGTATGGTTCATTTATCATCTCTATTCAGATGAATCTCCAATCTATATAATCTAGCCTTAGTCTCTCTCCTAAGCTCCAGTCCCATATCACCAACTGCCTAAAGGATATTTTAACTGGATGTCTCTTAGGTAAAACTTAACATGTCTAAATCAGAACTCATTATTTTTTCTCAAAGCCTTCCCTATTTTAAATATCCCTATTACTGTTGAGGATACCAACATCCTCCCAGGCACCCAGATTTGCAGCTTTGGTGTGATTCTTAACTCTTCATTTCACCCCACATATCCAATCTATTACTAAATCTTGTCATTTCTACCTTCACAACATCTCTCTTTTCTACCCCTTACTCTTCACTTATATACCCACCACCATGGTTCAGACCCTCAACACCTCTTGCCCAGGCAACTGAAACAGCCTTCTAATTGGTCTCTGTGCGTCAAGTCTTTCTCAAGTCCTATTTATACTCCACCAAAGGGATTTTCCTAAGTCATACATCTGACCATCTCATTCCCCTACTCAATAAACTCCAGGAGCTCACAGCAAGCTCCAAGACCAAATACAGAGTCCTTTGATTAGCATTTTAATCCCTTCACAAACCGGCCCCTTTTCAACTTTCTAGTTTTCTTAGACTTTACTCCTCTCCGTGCACTCTGCCATTCAACTACATTGTCCCATGCGTCATCGATCCATCTCCCATTTCTGTGTCTCTGAATTGACCATCCTCATGCCTGGAAGGTTTTCCTTCTTCACCTCTAGCTCTTAGCTTCCTTGGCTTTCTTCAAGACTTCTCTCAAACTCCATCTTCTGCATGAGCACTTTCCTGCTCTTCTCAGTTGCTAGTATCTTTCCCTTCAGGTTGTCTTACTTGTATGTATGTACCTATTTAATTGCATGTTGTCTCCCCATTAGAATATAGGGTCCTTGAGGGCAGGGACTGTTTTTGCCCTTCTTTTGATTCCCAACACAGTCCCTAACACATAGTAAGTACATGTCGGTTGACTGACTGACTATGGCCCAGCTATCTAGATTAAGGGCTAGGGTGAAACAGAGGAAAAATTGACTTGCTCACTTTCAGAAAACATTTAGGCTTTTAAACACACCCTTAATCCCAAACTAAATATCTTGAGGCATGTATGACCACATACTAAAGAATCATAGAATTTTGAACTAGGAAGGACATTTTTCCAGATAAACATTTTTAATTTGAGACTCAATGTGGAGAGATTTGGAAGAAATGCTGCCAGTGTTTTTATTCTAAAACAAAACAAAACAAAACAAAACAGGGTGCCCTCATAAACTGCTGCAATACTGAGATTCAAACCTAAATGGCCACTCATCACCCTATATGTAAAAGGCAAATATGAAAAAGGGAAGAAAGGGGGACAAATGTCACAAATAGTGTTCCAAATAAATATAAAACTCAGACCTCATAAGCTTAAGAGAGAGAGAAATCAGACCCAGTTGCACTCATTAAACAGAGATAACAACAACAACAAAAATAATTTTTATAATGATGATAATAATACACAGACAGATACTCAGATGCAGTGCACTCTTGCCAGGTTGATTTTCAATTACATTTCACTGATGTATTCATTTGTTTCTTAATGTGCTCATCTTGCCCATTAAGAATAATTAGCAGCTTTGCTTAGAGATTTCCTGGCTCCTGGCAGTGTTGCCACATTTTTTGTTGACATTCATTTTTACTTTTGTAGAAAGTAATTTTTGGATAGTATACTATAACTGGTACATCATTTAAGCTTTCCAAATTTTATAGAGAAAGTGTAAACAGTAATTTTAAGGAGAGTTTCAGTCATAGAACATTAATAATATGGATAATTTAAGGTATTATTGATTCCTACAAAAAGTGGGCAGAGGACTAGAAAACAGTATTTCATTCATTAAAACAGATTATGATAAATGCCAGCTAACCATAAACTCTGTTAGTAAAGTAACATTAGTATTAAAAGCTGGCAAGAAATCATCACTAGTTTTGATGGTTTTATATCTGCTTTTTTTATACTTAAGAAAAAGAAGATTAGGTCTAGTTCTTATGGGAAAGAGTATGTTAATAGTGAACAACCACAAGATAAAAATAAGTACATCAGGAGAGACTGGAAGACAGTAAAATAAAACACAATACCCATTTTGGCATATGCTCTTGAAAGGGCTCACTCTATCTACATTATAAAGTTTTTTTTGCCTCTTGCACTACGGCCCCCCGCTATATTAAACCCATTGTAAAACCCAGCACAATAAAGTGCTCTGAATGCTGAGCTTCTGAAGACCAAATGTTAAAAATCCATTTTCTTGGGAGGGGGCTGCACCAATCATTTCTTTGAAAGGCCAGCAGAGTAAATGCAGAATCTGAGATTTACTCTATGATTTCAAGACCTGAGATGGTAGCTTCAAAATGGAGCCTATAAAGCATAGGTGTATTAATTAAATGACATTAACATTTTTACCCTTTGGGGGAAGCTTTGTGGCTTAGTTCAATGAGAGGGTATTTTCAATGCATTTGAATTTACATTCTGACTACAGATATTTCCTGAGTTTGGTAAAAGTTCAAATTGGTTTGTCGGCCTGTTAAAAGAGGTAGCTGCCACTTTGCAAATTCACTTGTTACTGAGGCCTGAAAGTTTTTGTGGCTAAAATCTCTCTCTTCTTGACCTCTTCCCCAATTTTCCTCAGATCATCAAATTGGGCTGAATGAGAATACCTAATTCCTTCTTGATCCCTAGTTTTCCACTAACGCGTTAAGGAATAAAACTGTGCTTTGATATAAAATTCAGTCAGCTTATCCTAAAAATAAATTTTGGAAAAAATTTTTCAATTAGTCCCTGTAGATCATGATAAAAGTCCAGAGAGGCTGAGATTTGATTGGTCATGTTTTCCTCCCTGATTTTTTTTTTTAAGTCTGTCAGACAATTAGCTGGGTGGGGCTCTCCCAAGGGGACAGAAAAGTAGAAGTGAACAATATTAGCTGATGTTCTTGTGTCACCATTCTTCAGCATGAGCAGCCTGATAGAGCTGCTACGAATTCCATGGAAAGAGAAATAATAATTGATAGTCAAATTCCCAAAATGGAAATCCAAAGAACACACAAGACCATTTTAAATACAATTCAAAAAAATCAAAACCCTTCTGACATTTCAGTGGCCTAAGAATCAAATAAACTGTCTGTCTTTATGGGATGCAAATGTTACACAAACTGAAAAATCCAAAGCAAACATATCTTCCATTTTTCCTCTCGATTTCTAATGGCCATTAACCTTCCCTGAACAAACCAGTTCCATGGTTGCAGTGGCTACAAATTATGCTTGCTTTCTTAAAGTATAGTTCAATTTTCACCAACTCTGTGTACATATTAGTAAAGCATAATCTAATATAATAGGGTATGCACTGTAATAACCTATTAGAAAAAAGGGAGATAGGTTTTCATAATCCTAAATAAAAGGCAATAAATGGAAAACTGATAGCCATTTTAAGTGGAAGGATGTAGATAACTTCAAGCCAATTATAGTGCTAACAGCATTATAGGGGAGTAACAATATTATACCATACACTTCACATAATAATATAAAAGATTAATACCTGAAAGAAAACTGGAAGTAAATTTTTCTTAGTCTCACCTAGAATAATAAACACTAAATGAACAAATAATTTCATATAATGGTAGATTTTCTCCAAAGGATTCTGCTAAAAAAAAATTAGAAAGAGAATATCTGAAAAGTAACAACCAAATTTTATATATTCTTCTGCTGCTCATAAATATGCATCCCTTTGATAAGAAGTGATGTGAAGAATATTTCAATAGGAAAACAATGTACTTTTGTTCACTGAATTCCATATATTTCTACTTTTTTAATTACTTATGAGGGGAAACTCTTTTTTTTTAAACATATATACCCCATGCTGTCTTTCTTTCTATCAAATGTTCCTCGGCCAGGAAAAAGGAATGAGCACAACAAACCGCGTTTTCTATCTGAATAAGGATACTTTTGATGGCCTTTTCATTCCCATCAGTTAACAGAACTTCTTTGACATCTGCAGAAATAGCAACCTGAAAAAAAAAAGGAGCACAGCAAACAATGAGCAAATATGCTTGTCTGTGTGGAAGTGAAGACAGCAGTGACAAGCCTTCAGTATCATGCTTCCTCACCTATTTCTCTGTAACAATCTTCAATCTTTTTTCATTTTATGTCTGCATTATTTTAATCATTCAATCAAATCAGTCAATACTTTTATCATTCCATTTGCGGGAGCCTCTATCTTGCTATCATTCTGTTCAGTAATTGCATTGTGACAGCGGATGATGGTATTCTGAGAGGCTTTCATTTGCGGGCTTCTGTTTATCTAGTAGAGCCATCATACGAGGCTGTCACTCTGCCTTTCACTCGGCTTCTGTCTGACTGCCTGATGCCCTTCATATAACTTTGCATTGCAGGCAGATGGCTTTGTAAGGGTAATTTTTTTGTGAGCTTTGACATGCTCACACATTGGGCTGTAACCTCGACACATTGTATGAGAGCGACAGGTTTGTCAAATGCCAATCAGTGTAACAATATGCTTTTATTTGTAGAGACATAAAAACTTGTCTAATGCACTGTGCTGCTACATAATATCTCCTGAATACATGACTCAGAACCCAGAGAATGGTGAACGACGTTCCTGAATGGCCAATCTAATTCAAAAGAATCTAATTACTGAGAGCTCTGGATCATGTTTGTTGGTGTAATAATGCAGGCAAAACATTAGCAGCTATATCATGGTGCTCCAACTGTGATTCGCCAGGCTATTCCTGTATCTTAGCAAATGGGACTATAATCTGAAAAAAAAAATGCTTTAGCTATGGCAATGAAAGACCGTGCATGGCCTGGAATGTCACAACAAGAGATATTGACTACACGGAGGTAAAATGTTTCTGCTCATCGAGGCAACCATAAAATCAATATGATCCGAAAGCAAGTCAATCTAGAAGGTCTCTCAAGACTCGGCAGCTTGACCGCAGCTGACGCTGTTGACGGTTCTCTGACCCAGCAGTTGGAGGCACTGGAACATTTTTTCTTTTGTTCCTCCCTTTGAATGGGATTGGAATTGAGAAAAGACCTACCATGAGCCCAGCCAAGCATGTCATGCCACCCCCTAGCTCACACACAGCAAGGTCCCTGAAAGAGAGAAAAGAAATGGTAGAACCCATACAAATTAGATGAAAATGGCCAGAGAGACATATATGTTACAAGAACAAATTGCCATCTGCAGTAAGAACGGCACTACCAGGAAGTTGTAGAGACATGACTAGGCTACCTCATGTCGTTTTGCGTTTTAAAAATAATTATGAAATAGAAAAGTCACAAAGCAGGCAAATCAGTGGGGGTTCCCTCATTAGTGTTCACTGCAACATTACCACCGCTGAGCTGAAAAATCTGAGAAGGTTCCCTTTTTTCCCTTGTCAATGGCGCTGTCTTTTAGAACTAAACTGGCTAGAGTAGCGAAAGATAATTGTCAGGAAAGGATAACACTGTTAATCCACATTCATTCCTTCAAAAACAGTTAGACAAGTAAATGGCGAATATATGTGTGTGTACCTATATCTAGCTGCATACACACACAACCCACACAAATAAATGCACTTTGGTATGGTGGATTTTTTTTTTAATTCTGAAGCAAACATAACATTTTGGAAAGGCAAACAGCTCCACAAAGAACAATTATACAAAGAGTGTTTAGTAGGTAACACTTACATCACAAGTGACCCCAACACAACACAGTGATTAAACAAGGAGGAGCATATTATGGCTTACCCATCCAACTCAAAAACTAAAGTAATGCTACAAGGTTTGACTCGGCCTCACAAAAGTAAGGCTGTTTTGAGTTAAGACTGGAAATCTGACGTGGCACCCTGCACTTACCTTCCCCTTTGTGCCTAAGAATCTCTCCTCTACTGGTGACATTCTCACCCAGGATGGGATGCTCCCTGATTGGAGCTCCACAGAAAAGCTTAAGCTCAGGGAGACAAGCAAATGCTGGACTTTCAGGGCAGATTTGCAGCCTCAAGTCTCAACTGCCCTGCTTTTTTTTTTTTTTGGTACATTCAAACCCTCAGAATCATTTCTTCTTCACATTTTTTGGGGTGATTTCTTGCCTTAGGGTAAAAAGAAAAAGCAGGACTAAAAAAAAGAAAAGGAGGGAGGATAGAGGGAAAGGACTTTCATTGTTGTTGTTTTTTTTTTAATGGACTTAATCGCCATCTAGTTGTTCAAAGTAATTATGGATTAGTTGGTAAATATGGACCTAAGGAGTTTAAAAAATGTATATTATTGAATCAGTCTAATAAATACATATTTTGAAAAACATGCACCATGATTCCTAATCGCTCTTTTAGAATTGCAATGGACAACTAAGTAAGCGCATAGTTGATGACTTTGAAAAAATGGGAATTAAAATGAAAAAACCTATATTCTCTAGCTCTACCAGGCATCATTAGGAAATCTGAAAGGAACAGATATTTTAAAAATCCCACCAACTAGTTCAATATGATATGCACAGTCATAGATAAAAATATTTCTGCGGCATGAGTTGATAATAATCATTTATGCTTTTCAAACACATATTGTTAACTATATAAAATATCTTTAAATCTTGGAGTGGGATGGCATTTAAAAAAATAGTAGTGCAATTTATCAAATGTACTTTAGTGGATTCCTCAGTAGAAGTTGAACAATGTCTATTTTTTCTCACCTTCACAATCAGAACTGATCGATTAGAGCTTCACTTTTGTTTTCCCCAAATCAAAGTGAAATAAAATGCCTTGAGTGGAAATCAAAAATCTTTGACATGTAGCAAAAAGCTCTCTGCGCAATATTAGTAGCCAAAGGCCATCCAGATTTCTTTGTCAAGAGCTACATGTTTTCACCTTGAACTTTTTCTTAAAATTTAATCTAAAGACTTTAATCATGGAAATCTTTATACCATGCATGCAGATACAATGCACCTAATGGCCTGCAAAGTGTCTTTTAAAGTGCAGCTTGGTACCTGAACATCTGATTGTGCTTGAGGCAGTAGTAGGCCAGAACCTCTTCAGAAGGCCAGATACCTATAAAACACAAAGACAGGGCACACTTTGAATAGAAAAGTCCTCATTTTTAGACTTGGCTATTATTTTAAAAGCCATTTTCAACTTGAGCCAAACTTATTATTTACTGTTCTTACTATTTGAAACCACACAGCATGTACATTTTTTTTTTTTTTGCTGAGAAATGGGAATGTGGTTACCATTACTTCCCAGAAAAATAACAATATATGCTAGATAGGTTTTTATTTGAAATGACAACAAAGAAAATTACAAACAGCAAGAGTTAAATTCCACATAGATTGCTATTTTGCATATATGGGAACCTATTTTTCAGTTAATTAACGTTTTTATTGATCACCTACTATGTACTAAATTCTGCATGCAATTCAACAACCACAACAAGAAAAACAACACATTTATTAATAAGCCACAAATTGCAAGGGGCTAAGCTAGGCACAATGGATACAACAGAAATAGCACTTTGTCCTCAAGGAGGCCAGATTCTATTGAGGATAGAGGTATGGGGGACACAAAATGTATACCAATAAGTGAATCTAAAATAAATGCAAAATACTTTGAAATGTGACAGTGCTAACAATTGTGGTGGGTAGGGAGATCAAGGAGAGGCCTTATTTAGAGAAGGATGCCTGATCTGTGTTTTAAAAGAAGTTAGCTCAAGATTCTACAAGGTGGAGGTGAGAAGGGAGAGCATTCTAGATGTGGGTGACCATTTGTGCAAAGGCTACACTAAGCAAAAACGAATGAAAAACCATTCACAGGGCAAATTAATTCATGAGGGACCTCCAGTTAAACTCCTTGTTCAACCCTGTGCCAAAGTCTATAGCACTGGCTTGTTTAAATCTCAAGGACTATTCCTATTGACCAATTCAACTAAAAGACTATTTTTTTCCAAAATTGTGGATTTCCAGCTTACTTGTTCAGTCAGTCAGGTAGTCAATAAACATTTAATGAGCATTTACTACGTGCCAGGTACTGTGCTAGGCACTAGGAATACAAAAAGAGGGAAAAGATCATCTCTGCTCTCAAGGAGCCCATAATCTAATGGGGGGGGCAAAGAAATATATACAAACAAGCTATACAAGAAAAATATGAAATAATTAAAGGAGGGGAGTTACTAGAATTAAGGTGCTAGGAAAAGTTTCCTGTAGAAGTTTGTATTTTAGTTAGGGCTTGAGCAGTTAGCCTCAATGCTGAATTGGATTAACCTTGTGTTTACATAATTAACTGTGTATATGAAAAATATTCATCAATTCATCAAACACATATCATGTATATATGCCTCATTCTGTGCAGGGCAGTGTGCTAGAAATCAGTGTATCTGATAATGAACAAGGCAAGGGGCCTGTCTTTAAGGAGCTTACAATTCAGTAGGAGGAAATAAAGAAGGGAAGCAACTACTATGCAAATTGGAATGTACAGGTCCAGACAAGGTCCTGTGAAAGATCTGAGGAAGGAGAGATTCCCTTCCATCCGGGTAGGCAATATGAAGAAAGGTTTCATGGAGGAGGATGCATCTGAACTGACGCATGTCAATATGTTACAGAATCAATGAATCCTGGGGTTGGACAGGAACTCAAAGATTTTTTTAGCTCTGGGGTTCTTAGCTTTTTTTGTGTCATGGACCCCTTCTTATGCTTTCAAATACATGAAATAAAATATATAGAATTACAAAGGGCTCTGTAGACCCCAAGTTAAGAATCCCTTTACCTTCTGGAGGAGCTACAAAATATTTAGCATGTGGCCATTTGGACTTTACTTGAAGAGATCCGGTGAGGAAGAATTCCCACTAACTCTGTAAGTAGCCCATTCTACTTCTGTGGAACTTTGATTTTTTAATAAGTTTGTTTTTATAGCAACCTTAAATATGACTTTGCAACTTTTTCCTATTGTGTCTACTTCTTCCTTTTGGAACCAAGCAGAATAAATCTAACCATATATATCTATATGGCTGTATGTATAGTATGTACACATACATACATGTATACAAACATATATGCAGAACAAGTCTAACCCTAAATATAAATAGACACATATGGGTGTATACATATACATATATGAAATAGACCTTCAATTACCCTGAAGATGGCTATTCTATCTCCCCCAAATCTTTTGCTGTTTCAAGTCCCCTCACTATCCTGATTGCCTTCCTTTGGATGTGATACAACTCGGCAATGTCCTGATTAAAATGTGGCACCCAGAACTCAACATAATGCTCCGGTTGTGGTCTAATTCAAAGTAATCCACAAACTTTCACTGAGTGATTACTTTAGACCAGGATCCATGCTGTGACAAGGGCAGAGAACAGTAAGCTTACTGCCTCCCTTTTTCTAGACACCACAATTCTCTGATCAGCAGTTAGTCTTCACAAGTGACCCCACCAAAAATCAAGGGCAGCCAACTTCAGAGCCTAGTTCTTCCCATGGCCTGAAGATAAGAATGTTATGCCATGGCAGAGATGAGAATACAAGGCACTCTGTTGACTTCTCTGGCATTGAGGGCACATGCAAGAAGATTTTTTTTTCTTTCTGGATACATTCCCAGCTGTCACCACTGAGAAAACAGGCTGCTTCAAAGAACAAGATGACAGAAGGGAAAAAGGGAACAAAAGTCCAGTGGATTCAACTGACAAGTATTTTTGTTATGGCATAAATTATTCTTAAGGTAATTTATATAAGAAGGCTCATGGGAACTCAAGGGAAGAACAATGAAGACTTAGTAAGTAGTAGTCAGAATCATGGCACATTAGAGCTAGAAGATATCTTAGAGACCATTAATCTAACTTCCTTATTTGATCTAACAGCTAAAGGAATGGAAGCCCAGAATGGTGAACAACTAATTAGTGGCAGAGTTGGAACTAGAAACTAGTGCTCCACTTCTGGTTGGGAGGGGGAGTAGTGATGCCAATGAATTCATTGGTCCAAGTGCCAGTAACCTATAATGAAAGTGATACAAGTAAAAGACCTTTCAAGAAAGATCTGGGGGGAATGAGGCAGGGCAAATAACATTTAGTTACACAAGTGTAGGGGCAGGGGGAAGAACACTTAGTTACACAACTATACAACCAAATCATCAAGTCATGGCATCTTAAAATTAGAAGGAGGTCATCAAAGATCATTTGGTTTAAACCAACTCATACCTAAAAAGAATCTGCTCTACAGTATGCCTGGTGGGAATATCTTCAGGGAAAAGGTACTCATTACTTCATGAGGCAACCTATTTATTCCACATAGGAACAGTTCTAATTGTCAGGAAATTTTTCTTCCTTTTGAGTCTCCACAACTTCTGACCACTGTTACTAGTTAAGCCTTCTGGGGCTAGGCAAAACAAACCTAATATTACATCTTCCACATAATGGCCCTCCAAATACTCGAAGAGACATATTGTGCACTGCCCTTCCCACACTCTCCTGACTAAGCATCTACAATTCCTTCAAAAAATCTTTGTACTCCTGGGTTTCCAGTTCCCTGCCCATCCTAGATGAGGCCAGCTTATCATGGAACACAATACTCTAGATGTGGTCCCACCAGAGCAGCAAAACTAGGACTATCACTTCTCTCATACTGAAAATGATGTTTATATTGCTGCAATCCAAGATTGCATTGGCTTTTCTGGGTTGTGCTATTGTACTGTTGTGTTTCCTAATCTCTCTTAATTCTAGTATCTTTGCTGTATTGATTATTTCTTATTTATCCTGTATGTAGTTGTGCAGTTTGTGTGTGTAGTTGCTTACATGTTTTCTTCTCATTAGATTGTGAGCTCCTCAAGGGCAGGGACCATGTTTTGTCTTTCTTTGTGTCTCTAGTGCTTAGCACAGTGTTTGACAAAGAGTAGGTACTTACTAAATGTTTATTAAGTGAAGGACCAATTCATGTTGAGCATGAGTAATGTGTTCTCTAAAACCCTAGGGGTTTTTTTTCATATAAACTTATCCAGTCACACCTCCCCCATCTTGTATTCTGATGCTGATTTTTTTTGACTCAAGTACAGCACTTTGATTTATCACTATTAGATTACATCTTATTAGATTTTGGCAATCAATTTATCCTTTATGGTATTTTTATATCCTGATTTGATTGTTCACTATATCAGCTATCTCACCAAGTTTCATTTCATCTGAAAATTTGATGAGTATGCCATTCATGCTTTTATCTAAGTCATTGATAAAAATGTTGAACAATGCAGAGGCAAGAACAGATCTCTGGGCACTTTGCTAGAGATCTTCTTCCAGGATGACACTGATCCATCAAGGACTATTTTGGGTTCCAGCCACTTAATCAATTCCAACTCTACCTAACTGTACTACCATCTAGCCTCCATTTATCCATCTGGTCCACTAAGATAACATGTGAGATTCTGTTAAATGCCTTGCTGAAATCTAAGCATATAAAGTACCCAAATAATATGTTCACATTATCAGATTCTAGGGAGAGTGGCAATGTATTTTACTTCCTCTCTTACTGTAGATGTGCATAGGATAGTATAATGCTATAGACAGAGAAGATGCAATTATTACAGTATCATAGGATTACAGATTTAGAGATAGAAGGGACCTTAGAGGTCATCTACTCCAACCACTTTATTTTATAGATGAGGAAAAAAGGAACCCAAAGAAGTTGAATATTTGCCCAAGGTCACCCAGGTAGTAAGTGCCAGACTTAAAATCTGAACTCAAATTATTTGACTCCACATGCTTCTAGTAATTAAAAAAATTTATTGGGGTAGGGAGAGGTGATGCTTGCAATTATCCAAAATTCAAGTTTGAATTAAGTGTCCCAGTGTGCTCTCTAAAATGTAATTTTTAGCAAGGGTTACAACATGGGATACTCTCTAGAATTTGTGACATGCATTAACCACACATATATATCACATCACAGAGTGCCAGTTAGAATGAGGTGCCCTGGGCATTAGTAGACACACGTGGAGTAAAGCAATCCCCTGGGACTGCTCAGAGCAGAGGGAAATCAACAGGGTAGCTGGAACCACACTGGGAGGGTGGATGG